AGTGCAGTGGATGCTTGTGAGGTTTATACCATTTCACTGTAAACTCTGAATCTTGGTTATCAGTACCAAGTGTTCACAAAGAGCTTAGGAAGGTTTGCTGAACCTATCCAAGATCTGTTCAGTGCTGACAAAAAACATGCTTTTTGCTGCTGTTCCTGGGCTACCAGAAATCTTGTTACTCCAGATTTTAGTTGTGTTTTCCTGGAAAGACTGCAAGCACAGTAGACATACTATGTACGCCTGTGCAATGCAGCTATAGATACAAACTCCACAAGGAGGGGTAGAGGAGTGATTTCAAGCAGACATACTGTGATAGCAGCTATTGTTCTTGTTTACATTAGGATTTTATGCTATTCACTATCTGCTTAGAACCTAATGCTCTATACATTATGTCATAGCAGTGACTGCTTCAGGTAATATTGTCACATTTTTAGTTGAATGTGATTAACTATGTCGTCCTTTATGTAAATGCATTGGATTCTTTTCTGCTTTCATGAAAGCAGAAAATTTGAGTATTTTGATAAATATGAGACAAATCAAGAAGTATTTCAGGTCACGTAAACTAATTTCAGCCTGCTGAAATGGAGTACTTACATACCAGAGATGATAAACAGTTTTTTAAAATGTACTAACTGGCAATTGTGAATAACTATTTTCTAAACACATTGGAGACTTCTTAGTCTTAATATGTTGGTTTTTTATGGTATTTCTGCATTATCCATTTGTTTTAGGCAAGAATTTTCTCCACCTGTGTCTTAATCTCCAGGATATATTTAGCAAATTGTGGTTTTGTTTATTATTTGTGTGTCTGCTGCTATATACCCAGCAAGACATGGACTAAACAGTACTTGCCATCAATGAAATTCCACAGAACTATATATTGCGTTTTCACCTTAAACCTTTCATTTTAATTACTGTATACATAAGCATTCTCCTACTTTAATAGCACCCCTTTTCTATATGGTCCAGAGAGAACCTCAAATAACAATTTTGACCAGGTATCCTGCAAGCTATGTCTTGGGGAAATAAAAATCACAACTCTTCAACTGTTTTAAAGCTCTAATTGATCACTACAATTCTTTTATTGTGTATTTTGTTACCTGGGCCACTCTCTACCTAAGGCATAAAACTCTGAAATAACAGGGTAGGAAGAGGAAAGAATTTTTTATGTCAATCATTTTTAAGAAAGAAAAGCAACAATGTGTAATGAAGCCTTCTGGCACCAAGAAATCCAGATGGTGAACAGAGGAGGCATCTCATTTTACACAACCACTACATCCACAGATATGTTTTATGGCCATTCATTTTTGGTTATCAAACTTTGCACTCTGCTGTTCACCATAAAAGACAAAATACAGAAAATATCAGCAAGATTTTTTTTTATTTAAAAAGGTGGTTAAACTTTGAACAAGTGAGATATTTTTTATCTATCCAATTCTATTAGAAAACATTAGTAAAAATGTTCCAAAAACCTCAAATCAAGATTCTATAGGAAAAGGGACAGTTTTCAAGTATTTGCAGAAAACTCTCTGAAGTATAAACAAACAAAAAAAAGCAAACCAAAACCCTAAATCTATTGTGAAGCCTAACCAAAAATGATGATAGAACAGAAATGTGACATTGACAGTGGGATCTCATGCACCCTCAGGAATTTTGCCAACAACACCAAGCTGTGTGGAGATGTTGTTATGTTGGAGGGAAGGGATGGATCCAGAGAGACCTGGACAGGCTTGAGAGGTGGGACCAATTAAACTTCATGAAGTTCAACAGGACCAAGTACAAAGTCATGCATGTGTGTCAGGGCAATCGCAAGCACAAATACAGGCTGGATGGAGAATGGATTGAGATCTGCCCTGAGGAGAAGGACTTTGGGAGTTGGTGGACGAAAGCCTAACCTGACCCAGCCATGGGCAAAGCCAACTGTGTTCTGGGCAGCAGTTAAGGCGGGGATTCTACCCCTCTGCCCTTCTCGGGTGAGACCCCACCTGCAGAGCTGCCTCCAGCAGGAGGCCACAAAGAGGCCCAGAGGGCTGGAGCACCTCTGCTCTGGAGACAGGCTGGGAGAGCTGGGGCTGTTCAGCCTGGAGAAGGCTCCAGGGAGAGCCCCTTCCAGTGCCTAAAGGGGTCCTGCAGGAAATCTTGAGAAGGACTTTTTACAAGGGCAAGCAGTGATAGGACAAGATGAAATGGCTTTAAGCTGAAAGAGGGTTGATCCTTCCCTGTGACGGTGGTGAGGCCCTGGTTCAGGTTGCCCAGAGAAGCTGTGGCTGCCTCATCCCTCGAAGTGTCCAAAGCCAGGTTGGACGGGGCTTGGAGCAACCTGGTCTAGTAGAAGGTGTCCCTGTCCATGGCAGGGAGTGGAACGAGATGATCTGTAAGGTCCTTTCCACCCAAAACTATTCTATAACACTGTGATTCTAAGATGTAATCCCTGACTCTATCCCTTGTAATTTTTTCCTAGTTATTTCCTTCTATTTTTTCCTCATTAGAGAGTCAAAAGTCTGATTTTTCCTTTGGCCATGTTTTCATTGTGTGTGAAGCAGTTGTCTGCTTAGATGTATTCTCAGTATCACTTCTATGTACTTAAATCTCTAATATCAATTTTAAGAGGCAAGGTAGGATTTTAAACCAGTGCAGATAAAAGTAGAGAATCTCACTTGAAATCCATGAGTGGAAGTATAATCTAGTTCAGGCAATGGGTATTAGGTGTCTGGGACAGCAGCACTGCACCAAATCCTACAGTTCCCTTGGAGACCTTGCAGGTTGAAATAGCAGGTTGGTTGCAGATGCTGCACCACTGGTTCTCCCACAGTAAAAACCAAAACTCATGCAAGGCAGAAAGAAATGTGATAGGACTTACTGTGTTTTACAATTGTGGCAGAAGTGAAGGATGCATTTTTTGCTGCCTTACTAACACAGGGTCTCTTCAACATGGGACAGAAGCCTGCATTTCATAGGTCCTGCTTTAGCACTGATAATATGTCTTTTTATCTCTGCTGCCTTGAAAAAGTGCCTTAACTCCTTGCTGCTCCTTCTAGACCATGAAGATAACAATGCAGATGTCTAAGGGCCTGATGAGGATTGTTTGTTAGTGTGCCAAGAGGGGAAAAACCAGAAATTGCTAGAGTGTCAGCTGCTGATCAGTGATGCTGTCAAAAGAACAGGAGCCATGGCAGCCTCACGTGTTAATGATGCAGAAATGACACCAAATTTATCTACTAAAAGTGTCCAAAACAAGTGTTCATCCAGAAGCACTGAATGCAAGGTGGAAATTGAATAGGTTTATTTTCTGCAGATGACGTCTGTGTGAATAGACATTTTCCGTGTTTTACAGACTAAGCACAGTCAAATAAACCAAGATGAAAAAAAATGAAATTCTTTGTTGGAAAAAATTCAGGTCATGGCCACAGTCCCAGTTGTGCTGTAAATCAGAGGTTTTCATCTTCTTTCCTGCAGCTCATGGGGTCTGTGGGCTGTGTAAATGACATGGGCAAGTTTGTTGATCTTTAAGTCAAATTGAATATAAATTCCTACCAAACAGTCTACAGATCAGAAGTTGCAATTTCTTATTTAGACTTCTTGAAATTATCCTATGAGATCACAACTCATATGTGTAGGTCTAGTACCTCTGTGTAGAGCTCCAAACTTGGAAAATCCTTCTGTATTGATCCCAATAGGCTCACAGAACATGTAGCCACACACCAGGTACCTCCAGGCCCTCCTCTGGGGGATTGTGTGGTAAAAGCTGATTAAGTTATCTTTCACCAACCACTACTCACATAACCCCATAGATAATGTGTAGTAAAATCAATTGGTACTGTATCTTTTAATGAAGGTGAGTAAAGGTTTAGCCAATGAATCTAGTTTTAGATTGTCTCTTAAAGGGGGGCTGTTGATTTGTCACTGTTTGAAGGTTGTAAAATTGGGTATTTGGCATGCAGAGAGGGTGAACTTACCACCCAGCACCCATCTCTGAGCACACAGGGAATAAATATCTCTATCTATCTATCTATCTATCTATCTATCTATCTATCTATCTATCTATCTATTTTCTTGCAGTCTGGATAGAACCCATATTTGGGACAACACTGACTGCAGTGGAGAAGCAGCATCAAGGACTGTTCTCACAGAAACACATTCTCCCCCGACATCACTGAGAACAGAATTCCCACCTCAGGTCCATGCTGTTAGTCCAGCATTTTCATCTAAAGGTCATGGATATAAAAGTCTTGAAATCCTCATTGGAGTAAAACAGCTTTACTCCCTACCAGTAAAGAGTTTTATCCTGTCCTTATTTGGCCTTATGTCTCTGCAGTAACCCTCTGACTTAAACTCCTTGGACTGAGATTGAAGAAACTAACATAAATGTATTTAAAAGAATTTAAAATGCAAAAAACTGCACCTATTCCTCTCCATTCCACAGTATGTATGACAATATGTGCTTAAATTATATAAAGAAATATTAATTCTAAAAAGCATTTTTTAAAGATTCCACAGGATGTTCAACAGAAACTGACAGAATAAACAAAAGCCTATATACCAGCGTGATGCAGAGCTGTCTGAGCACAGCTGCATTAGCACACAGACCCTTCCTTTCCAGTCTCATTAATATTTCAGTCTTTCCACAGTGAATACATATTCTTGTGAGGCAAAGTGATGTGCCAGGTCCTCCTTTGAGGACTGGAATAGTAATATTCCAATTCAAAGTCTGGTGTGGTTTCTCAAGAGGAGAAAAGAAAAAGTGAGGTATCATGAAACTGAATTGCCATCATGTCTTCAGAAACCTTCTCTTAACCTTTGAGAGTGTGAAGGGGAAACTCTGCTGCACTAGGGGAAGGGATGTGAATGTCCTAGTTTTGCTATGGTCAGTTCAGCAATATCCACAGACACACTGACTTAAAGTGATTGCCCGGTGGTATTAAATTACCCTTAATTGACTGCCTTATCCCAGTGGCTTACAAAAATACCTCCTTGGAATGGTTCCAAACATGCCAGAGATACTAGCCAGCCAAGTCTCCAAAATAGTCCTCAGTTAGTAACTTCCAAACCTCACACAAGAGTCCAGTTGCGTCACTTGAACACTGTCCTACATTCCCTTGATCAGAGTCATGACCTCCCTCTGAGGAGAAGTCTTTCTGTTTTAAAATAAAATGTATAGGGTCTCCAAACAAACAGAACCTGATGCAGGAGAGGAATCCCAGGCAAGTGGGAGAAATGCTGTTACTGCTCCTTCATAAATAATGACAACACATGGCTTTGGGCAGCATCAGTGCACCAACAGGAACATTTCTTGTATGACACGCTGTCATTACCTTTGTGAAATCATCTGAAGGTTTGAGTTTGCTATGATCTAGGTGCCATGCCACTGATAGATATGTAGCTAATGCCAGTACCTCGCGGCTTCCGGAATACACAGTTATGTTCTTGTCCCCCTCTGACCAGGTTACCTTATCATCCCTGCAACAAGCTGTGCTCGTATTTCAGCAGTGACAGATCACAGCCCAGCTTCTCCCTGTGAACTCATCAGGGAGCTGTGTTTGGAGGTATGGTTGCTCTGCTGTGAACTGTGATAGCCAGTGTGCAGAGCTACCCCTCCTTTCCCTGCCTCTCCTACAAATATCTGCAACCTCTAATGGACAGGCAGGACAAGCAGAAAAGGGAAATAAGTAACTCTAAGTGCCACTGCTGGGGTCAGAGCCTCAACTTGGATGAGTCAGCACAGCCCCAGCTATGGGGCTGGCTTTGCTTCTCCATTTACAGACTGCAAGCCAAAGCGTGAAGGAAAACTTCCCAAATGCTTGCCTTTATTAGAGTACGAGTGAAATAGCTAAATCTTAACTTTGTCTGAAAAGATGCAGCATGTATGCCCCTGTCCCCACTCCACAATGTTGAAGAAGTCTAGGACCTTTTTGGAGACTCATCTATTCAGGAGCGTGGCCTTTTACCTCCTGGCAGTACATCAGGTGTTGGTACCACTATAATATTTCAATTCTGCTACACAATGCTTGCAAACATCCACTTAACCTCTAAGTAGTTCCACTAAATTTTAGGCAGTCTTGTAAATCTTTCTTCCCCTGATCAATTAAGGTTTGTTTGTTTACAAAGACTTCTAGGAATGGGTCTTTGCTGTACAAATGTATTCAAAGACATTTATGGATAAAGAAGGTCGTGGTTATTTGTTGATTCTTGGCACCAATATTTCAGTCACCTCATTAGGGTGACCATTTGATCCACCAAATAAACAGACTGAGTGAATGCTGGAAACACAGGGTTTGAAATACATACAAGATTGAGATTCATTTGCATATGGTGCTGTAGGAACAAAGCAAAAATCTATCTTAGTAGAAATTATTTTTTTTAGAAAAAGACATAGATAGGCCAAAATAATTACACATCTTATTCCCAACAAAGATTACAGTCACTGATGTGTTAATATTAAGCAGCTTAATCACTGCTTAATGCTAAGAAGGAACATCTTATTGAAAACCTGGGAGAACATAGATGATTCTTTTTCTCCTGAAGTTTCCTAGCTCTTTTGGTCTTATGTTATGGAATGGGATGCTTCCTCATTTGTCTTCAGAGTGCAGGATACAGAGTAAGAGCCTTGGGGAATTTGAAAAGCTAATTTATGCCTTCCCCTACAGACTCTTGTTAATGATAAAAAGCCTGTGCAAGTGATGATGTGGTCTGGTATCTCTTAGCTTGTTATAAGAGATCACATACACCATATATTGTTTCAATGCTTTCTGAAGAAAAGTTCTCCTCATGCAAACTGTGCTGGTTTAAAAGTTAACCAGCAAGGCAAAATGAACTCAATTCAAAAGAGAGATTTATAAGTCAGAATAACAATTTATTAAAATAATGCAATAAGTACAATTATACAGACAGACAATTGGTTTTAATCCACAAAACCCAAATGTACAAACCCAGCACCCTGGGGTATGAACAAAAGTGGTGTACCTTGGCCCACCCCCCGAGTCCAAAGCAAAGGGAGAGAGGATAAAACCTGCTGGTGGGAGAGCTGCTGCAGTCTGGTCAGAAGTGGTGATTGCAGTCCAGTTGAGGGTGGTGGTCTCAGCCTGGTTGGGAGCAGCGGTGGTCTGCTGTTCTTCCTCTGGGTCCCACGAGAGAGAGCCCCAAGGCTCTGAAACTCCCAGTTATATACTCTCCAGTTCAGGCGGGAGTGCTCAGTCCCTCCCTCAGAGTAGGGAATTCCATAAAAGGGCATGCGGATGCTCAGTCCCTCTTATCAGAGCGGGGAATTCCATATAAGGATATCAGAGCGGGGAATTCCATAAAAGGGTACAGGAACATCTTCCCACCTTGCAGGCCTCTACTGACAGCAGTTTTTGGGAAATGGCATGGAGGCTATAGAATACACAGTTTTGGGTTACACCCATCCAGGGATGAATTGGTCCCAGCCGTTCTAACCAGGACAAAACCTTAGGTTTTTCACAGTGAGGAAATTCACTAATCTACTTTCAATAATTTTTTTTTTGTTATTTAATTAAAATAAAATTCATTGTGTAAATATTTGTATATTGCAACTCCTACAATTTTTTGAGAAATGTAAGCCTTCATAATTCTCAGTCTCCAAGCAAGAGCATAGTCACACTGTCCTGTCTCCAGACCATCAAGTCCAACTGCCCAGGCTGATGTTGGCATACTCTGGTACAGGTCAAGGAGAATTCAAAAGGAGCAAAAATCAGGATTCTCAAGAAAATAAATAGCAAAATCACAAAGGAAAATGTTGTTTTCTGTTCCAGGGTCATGCTAGAATTTAGTGTCTGTTCCCAGAGGGCACCAAAGAGGCAGTGAGTATGTCTCCATCCATCACTCAGGGAAGCTGAAACAAATAGTCCTCCCAAAGTTGACTCTTTTCATCATCATTTTACTGAGGTTAGAGCAGAAGCCATTTGGATGCACTTCGCTCTCTATAGGGCAAGGGGGAAGCAATGTTCACCTTTTATTTATTTACTTCAGTACAACTTTCTCCCAATTGAAAAAATTGGGATGGAAAAGAACTCACCAGCAGGTCTCCTTGTTCTGTGTCATATATGAGAGACCTGTTAGACATCCTGGCCCACTCTGTTGGCAGTGCAGAACCCAGACACTGATACATGTCCCTAGGCTCTGAGCTGGCAGTAACCTCTCCCTACCTATCATGTCATTTGGACTGGGATAGAACATTTCTTTCCTGCAAGGGGGGAAATTAATGGTTTAATCACCCTGCTGAAGTGGGTGGCACGTAGAATTCTGCGGCAAATTGCATAACTTGCTGCAAGACAGGTGAGCTGCATTTGATGCTACTCTAAGCTGGAGGAGAGGGGGTTGAAAAACAAATGTAGCTATGGCTCTATACACAACGACCAAAAATGTTTTGATGTGGGATAGACCAGGATCTGCCGCAGGCCAGCAAAATCCATGTGTCCCCATGATGGAAGGCAGCAACCATTCAGTGCCTGTAAGGAAAGGCATAAATAATTTGTGTTTCAAATGAGAGAAGATTTAGGAAGGCAGTCTGGAGTGAGTCAAGTAGTAATTTAGTTCAACGTCAAATGTTTCCTCTTCTTACTTAAAATCAGAATCAGGCTTACAAACACAGTTAGCAAGAAAATATTTTTTATGTCACTAGCTCCACCACATCAAGAGAATTGCCAGGATTTGGGATTGAATTTGGCTGTTTCTAGACAGCAGAGCATATGCCATGTTACCGGCTGCCTGGCATGTCTGCTCTTTTGGCTGTCTGTCTGGGTATCTGCGTACCACTGCCTCCTCCTCCCTTGCACACTGGATTTTCCTTCCAGTGGGAAGGAGTCACTGCTGGGATGCCACAGCTTAGGCCTGGTCATTGGCACCTCTGGAATTACCTATTGTAACAACACACCCCAGAAAAAGGGGGGGGGGGTAACCCAGGTTCTTATCAATAATTCCCTTGGGGTGGATTAGAGTGAAACGACACTGAATAATTGGTGTTTGAAAACATATATAGGTAGGGTTTATTTTAAACATATATAGGTGGGATTCATTTTAACAATTTTGTTTCAACAGGTAAGTTAGCATTTTGGGTGTTATCATTTATATCATCTATAGCAATATGCAATACGGATAACCTCTAGGGGGGAAAATGCATAAGGGAGAGAAAGGAAAGACAGGATAAGGCTAAGGGAGAGTAAGGGAAAGAAAAGATGAGAGTGGAAAAATGTATATAGCCACTGCCCACGGGGTCCAGCAATGACAGTTGGTAGTTGCCACTTCCATTCCTGTCAGTTGAAGTGGAGGCCTTGATCCGTTGGGAGTGAAGGAGGGAAGGCCCCACACTCCAAGGAGTTATGAGTTATTATGTCCATGGTTAGTGTCACGGGCCATGCCTCAAGCCTCCAACCTCTCCTGGGCCTGCGCAGAGTTTCTGTCTGTGGCCTGCTTCCCGCCTTTCAAGATTGGCAGAGGGGGGGATGGGCTTTGATGGGCCATCAGAGGTATAATGCAAAAGTCCTGCAGAAGCCTGCAAAAGTCCCTTGGCAATCCTAGAATGCATAAATCATTAACCGTTTCAGTCTCTGACACCTATAAAGTGTCCCCAGGAAAAGAAACACTTCAAAACTGGTCAAAGGACAGGTCTGTTTCAGCTGAACATTGTGTTAATGGCAAGAGGAAGCAAAATAAACAGAACACAATGCAGCAAAGAGCATACACAGGTGAAACTTTCACAAGATCATAACCACTCTGTCACTGGACTGTATTTTCATTCGCATGCCTCAGTAAAAACAGTTAATATATATAAGTGGATTAAGAAAGCACAGTCATATCAGAATATTGCCAAGTTGTTCTAAAAACTGTATCTTAAACAAAATAGAGAAAGCATTAAAGCAACAAAAATATTGTGACTGCATGGATATTATTGCCTGATTTAATTTATGCAGGAAAGAATAGAAAGATCAAAAATCTTCCACTCTCTGAAAAGAGTGTCTCAGCTACCAGCTGATAAATGCAGAGGGCTGACTAATGGAAAGAGCTAAAACGTTAGGAATAATTGGTTTCAGAAAGCCGACAGACTTTTTTTTTTTTTTTTGATGGAGTGATACTTGGTGAAGAAAACAATGAATTCTAGTGTTAAATAATGTTGTTATTAAAAAAAAAAAGAAACACATAAACTGAGGCAGTGTCCCATTGTGGCAGTGATGCTACAGTGAAGGCCAAAAGTAGTGATCCCCCATTCCAAAAGACCCCTGGTATTCTGGCTGCAGAAAGCTTTTCAGCACACATATTATGTCATATTCTTTAATGTTATTTAAGCATATGCCCTCAGGTATGCACATATTTATACACAGTTAAAAGTCTTTCCTAAAACTGCAGTCACACAAGATAACAACTGCTTGCTTTCACAGACCAGTGTTTTAGGAAAGGTTTTCCTGACGTTTCTTCTGGGCATTATCTGAACACATTTAGCAGGCATGGGAGAAAAACGCACATGGAAAATCTGTGACTGCCAGGAAAGATCAGTTTTTGATATACTTGCTTTAAATGGCGACACTTAGAATAGACAAAGGATTCAGTACACAGTATCTTTCCAGTTTTGAAGAAATTCAGTTTTAAAAAGATACATGTAATTAATTACTCAGTAAATGCAAGTTAGTCATTTTCCTTTGGGGATCAGACTAAACATCTGAGGGGGATAATACCTATTTATACTGGTGTATCATCCCATCCATGTTGCTGCAACACAGCACAAACACTCTGAGATGCAGAAGCTCTGGAGCTGACCACCAGTTGCCATAAATTACTCCAATATAATCAGAAGTACACACAGATTAACACCGGTGAGGAACTGGGAACTCAGGAAACTATTGAGACTGAACTGTGACATATATAATATATGTGTACATGGATTCAAAGCAAATATTTTAATTAAAAACATTTACAATGAAACACCACATAGAGTGGCAGCGCCTAATTTATTGCTGTTTCTTGACAGATCTTTACACTGCATAATGATCTGTGTAAATTACATAACAACAAATAGAAAAGCCTCTGAAACCAGCAAGTTCAAACTAGGAATCTGACCAACAGAAAGCCATTGGAGGCACAGGGGCCTGCAATCTTGCTAACTAGACACATGGTCAAATTTCCTGCTACTGCAGTAGCGTATACAGTTCTGCTGACTTAATCACCATCTTGCCCACTTACATTTTTGGCCTTTTAGAATTTGATTGATAAAAATTAAAATTAAGCAAAAAACACATCAAGTCATGTAAACACATCAACCAAGATATTCTCTCTTTTTTAAGTCGACACCCAAGGACTTTCTTTCGCCCTTCTTGTTCACTCAAAATTTAATGGCTTAATCTGTATGATCCTGTGACTTCACTGGGTGCTTCACAACATATACCTGATAAGGTAGGTATCCTATATTAGTGGAGCAATTGGTTTTCCATTATGAAATATCTCATGGAATGTGGCAAGCACACAGCTGTGCCAAGACCATGTGCATGATTTTCCTATACCACCCATACTAGTTTCACTGATTACTCACTTCCTTAGCTACAAAAACACATGGCAAGTTTCTTCAAGCTCAAACATCTGTACACAAACTATTTGAGCAAAGATGTTTCCATTCACTCACATCTCAGTTGCTGTGATTGACATTTTAAGCCTACCTTAAATAAACAAAACTTGATTACAGAAAGTACCAGGCTAACAAATTAAATTACACGTGCCCTTCTCTTGCGCCCAACTGTATATTACATTCCTCCATACTGTATCCTGGACAGTTGTTGCTGCACAGTCTACATGGATATACTAACAATGCCCTTTTCACCCATGTCTCATCTTTTTCTTCCTATAAATTCAATATCAAGCTGAAATTGCCCTTCTCCTGCAGACACATATCCTCTTCCTCTCTGAACAGCTTTTAAAGATGGATCTTTGTGTGCAAAAAGAGCTTCTTTGAGAGTCATTCAGTTGTTGACAATGTTAAAGAAAGTTAAAGATGAGGTTAATTTTAACAATAAAACAATGCTAGAAAGGGAGCTGTTCTCTTTTTTTGGTAGGCCCTCCCCAATACCATGGACCTTAATTTTACTTAATGCACCATGAAAGGTTTAAAATGCAAACTCCCCTTTAGTGTGTAAATGTGCACACATAATATTTTGAATTCATCTACATAGGCTGTGTGAGGGTGATTTATACATAAAGAGAGTCAAAGCTACCCTAAAAGCTTAAATTACCCACTGCATTTGCTAACGTAATTGTAAGCTTTATGAGATACCTCTTGTGAAGATCTGAACTGTGACTTCATTATATTTGCACCACTGAGGAATCTGTACAATGATTTGGAATATGCACCCAACAGGCTGTCCTGCTTCCTCTGTCTACACTCTTCTTTTAAAAATAGGGTGTGCAGATACACAGCCACCAGTATTGCAACCCTTTCCTACAGCAAATATCTTAAATGTATAGTAGTAATAAGATAACCAAAAACACTAAAGCTTTTAAAGCCAATAACCTGGCTAGCATTCCTTATAGGCTGATGAATCAGCAACTTGAAAACTTGTTATCTTACCAGTCATAAATTCTTACCAAAACAATATTTGGAGCTCAAAATTACAAGGAATGGATTTTATGCTGCCCTTTCTGGCATCACTAAAAGATGAACTACAATATACATTCCATAAAATCAACAGGAAATACACAACAATATAGTCAGTATACGTTCATTTAATTATTGTTACTTTTAATCCTAATATCACTATTCCTGCTATATAGGACATAATAGACAGCCAGGCATATGCAATATAAAGGTTATAGCTTAATTAAATAAATGAAGAAAATTAAACAATTTCAGTGAAAAAAATACCTTCATCTAGTCAAGAGGAA